TAAATACCAGAATTCTACTGATTTTGTATTCAACAGTTCAAGGTAGATGTGAAGGTTTAAAATGTTTACAACAATTTAAAGGAAAATTTGAGACAGGAGGCATACTATTTAAGCTGGATTAGTATTCACATTTTTTACTGTCTGTGCTCAAGCAGCGGAGGATCTGCACAGACTGCCACCTCTCCAATACACCAGATCCTCTTCAAATATTTGCTTTTAATCAACAAATGATTTGAGCTGCTCTGTTTATTCTCTGTCTTTTTAAGAGCTCCTGATCTGCATTTGAAAGATGAAAGCCTACAGCTCTTTCAAATTTAGGCTTGTATTTCTGAGCCACCTCTTTCAGCAATTTTCTCATTTCCTATTACAGTTCTCAGAACTAATTATACTGCCAACCCGTTTGCATTTTCCAGTTTACAATTTGCGGTAGTGTAATAAAGAACTAAGCAATGTTATCAAGTAACTTCCCTTGAAAAGAAGTGCACTGGCTCCTTGTTACAATTTAGCATTGCAGTTGTGAAATCAGTAATAGCATTAGTCATTCTCCAGGAAAAAATAGGAAAAATATTGGCGATTTTGGTTATTGAAATTAGATAAAAGCAAATCTGTTAGGAAAGAAAGGAAAAGAACCACTCGATAATTGTGGAAGTGGAATAAATCTAAGTCTAAAACTATCTCAAAAGATGATTTAATACCTTCTCCTGTCTAAAGGTTAGCTAGACGCCTGGCAGATGTTATTTAATGTGTTATTGATCCAGTGAAGGTGGTTCCGAAACCAGGTCTGCATCAGTGCTGTATTACTCTTATACTTGGATTTTTTTTTCCTAATATTTAACATAAATCTCCATGAGTTCAAATTAAAGCTATTATTTCTCGTCCTACCTTTTTTTATATATTGTCTCGTTAATCACCTTTTTCAGTAAATTGCTAGGCAGTCAGAGACATCTACAAGGAAGACTGGGCAAGGGATATAAAACAAATGCAGTTCCTCCACAAATCACATTTTCTAAGCTTCCTTTTGGTTTTCCTGCTTTCAGGAAGAATTACTTTTCTGTCTCTGTCCCGCCATCATACTGGGCTGAGAATTACATTCGATGCCTGATCAACACCAAGCAGAACAACATAATTGCCCCGTGTGCCCTTCATGGTATTCTTCAATGTATTGAGTTATTTATAACATCATACTTTGGTTCCTATTTCTTGTAATTCCATGTTTTTCTGCAGTACTACTGCCTCGGCAATTAGCCCCCATTTTGTATTTGTGCATTTGATGTCCTGGTTTTACAGACAGTACTTGGTATTTTTTATGAAATTTCTTCTTGTTGCTTTCTCCAACCTGTTCAATATTTTTAATTTTGATCCTGTCATTCAACATACTTGTAACTTCTTTCAACATGCTGTCATTATAAAGCTTTTATAAGCACGATTTTTATTCCATGATTCCAGTTATTGCGACTAATACTGATTAGCACTTGGGGCAAAAAAACCCAGCAATCTTTTTTAGTTTATTCCTCCTACTTTGATAAGCATTCATTAGGAATGATTGGTTACTTTTTCCCTAGATGATATATTCTTATGTGGGAGAGAATAAAAAGAAAAATTTACTACAAAATAACGCACCTAGTATTTATTTCCTCTTCATCCGTTAAACCAGCTATTCTACCAAAGAATAAAATCAGACTATTTGACATATACTCTTGACAAATCTGTGTTGGCTGTTCATGGGTGATGCTGGGTGTTTATTTGTAAACACTCCCTGGATTAATATTGTTATGTCATTTTGTTATTTTTCTAATGGCTTTATGGATGTTGAGCTGAGCCTGATGGACTGAGAATTTCCTGAGAAATTCTACCTAAAGGGTAGTGGGGGAGGAAGGATAGGTAATTTTTTTGCATCAGGACCTCCTCACACACATTCTCATCGGTCTTTCAGGAACCCTCTCTATTTTCCGTGGAATTCCCTGAGATAATTGTTGCTAATACTTCAAAGAACGTATTTCTTTGAATATTTCTAAACAGAACTGAAAAATAGTCTAGAAACTATTTTCATTTGATAGTATACCGCATCCAAAGATACAGATGTAAAGATGAATGATCTTTGACAATACAGAGAATAAAAAATGCACAGGCTCCAAGGGTAAATTATTTTAGCACTGTTAGCTTTGTCTACAGGACGCCAATGCATATACAACACATGCTTCCACTAGCTTTTATTTCTTTAAAAATAAACATGCAATTTTATCCCTAGCTTAGCCCACAAAAATTCTGCAGAGCCCATGACACAGAAAACTTCATATTGAAGGTGATTTTGTTTCATGTGTTTTGTTATGACTACATCCATCTGTGCTTGCTCATAAAGATCTGCTCTTAAAGAGATCTAGTATTCATGTTCAGGCTTTCCTCCTACTATAGCCATGAGCAAATATTAAACATGAAAGCTAGTTGCAGAGCTAGGCAATATAAAAATATTTACCTTTCCTTCCCCCTGTACTGTCATGTTTTTCAAACAGATTTCTTCCAACAAGTGTGCAATTAACACTGAGCAAGAGACCCTTTTGTCTAAACCATGACATAAAGTAAGCGTATATCTGTCCAAACACATGCCACCAAAACTGGAACTAGAACTGAGGGCAGCCTTGGTCCTCTCTCTCATGTTCAGCCTGGGTTAGAAATGAGGTAAGTCTACACAAGACCATCCCTCAAAGTATTCATAATAAACCCCCCAGCATTTGAAAATTCTGCATTGTTTTGTACTAGGTAACTTTCCTGTTTCCCAGGAAACTTCAGAGAGCAAGAAAAAGATATGATGTATTTATACGTATGTATTGAGTCAAATAAAACTGGGGATTAAATCTTTATAATAAGGACGAGGGGGAATGGCTTTAAACTGGAAGAAGGTAGATTTAGAATAGGTATTTGGAAGAAATTTTTCACTGTGAGGGTGGTAAGGCACTGGAACAGGTTCCCCAGAGAAGCTGTGGATGCCCCATCCCTGGAGGTGTTCAAGGCCTTGGGCAACCGGGTCTAGTGGGAGGTGTCCCTGCCCATGGCAGGGGGGTTGGAACTCGATGATCTTCAAGGTCCCTTCCAGCCTACACCATTCCATGATTCTATGATAAAGCAGAATTAAAATAACTTGAAATTGCAATTACTAAAATCTAACAGCAACTTTGTGCCAAATAAT